AAAAAAAAAAAAAAAAAAAAAAAAAAAAAAAAAAAAAAAGAACAAGTATCTTAGAGGACATTTGATGTCATTGTTAATACTGATTAATGTAAGGTTTTAACAGATTCTTAATAAATTTGTGCAATTAAAGAAGGTGAATGGTTATTCATTCCCAAGAAGTTCCATGCGTATATGAAATAAGGGATCATGTAGAATGATTTTTAGTTGTATCCCATGCAAATACTACCAAACATTAAAATGATAAAAAGAAATTTGCAGAAGTAGGTTGTGTATTAGAATTAGATCACTCACCTCAGTCAAGGATTTTCAAGCAAACAAAAGCAGCATTCCATTACTGTTCAGCATGATTTACAGAAAATCTTCAACTTTTCAACTGTTTCAATTTCTCAAGAACTTGTTTCATTGATGGTCGAATAGAAAGAGTCTCTTCTGTGCATGTTAATGCGAGCTTTAAAAGCCCCAACAGTTTTTCCTTAGGCCCCGATTCCCACAAAGTAGATGAAAATAGCTCGGAACACCGGCCTTCGGTCATTAGCAGTTCTGCCCATGGAACAATATTGAATCCATTTCCATATTCAGAAAACGATGGATCAAGTGACTTTCTTCCCGACATCAACTCTAACAACACTACACCAAAACTGTAAACATCTGCTTTGTCAGAAACCCTGCAAGTGGTGGCATATTCCGGCGCGACGTAACCAAATGTGCCTGCCACATCAGTGGTGGCATGAGTTTCTGATACCTCCAGCAGCCGCGCCAAGCCAAAATCTGATATGTAGGCATTAAGATCTTCATCAAGTAAGATGTTGCTAGGTTTAATATCCCTATGAACAATGCGAGGAACGCAAGAGTAATGAAGGTAAGCAAGAGCCTCTGCTATGTCTTTTGCTATTTTGTAAATAACTGGCCACTGCACATTTTTCCCTGACCTGTCGTGTATGAAAGCTTCAAGGTTCCCCCCAGAAAGGTAGTTGTAAATTAAGAACATTTCAGCCTTTCCTACATAGTAGCCAATAAGTGTCACAAGATTCTTGTGCCGAATTCTCCCTAATGTCCTAATTTCTGTTTCAAACTGTTGAATCCCTTGAAATCTACCTATGGACAACCTCTTTATGGCAACGAGAAAACCTGGGGACAGTTCCGCCTTGTACGTTGACCCAAAGCCACCAGTGCCAATTAGAAACCGGATGCTGAAATTTCCGGTAGCCATGGCCACACTGTCGTAACTCAATTCAGTTGGAACATCTTGAAAGGTCACTACCTGCCGCCTTCGAATACTGCTAAGCCGACCGAATTTACTCCTTCCAGAGAAGATCACCAATACTATTCCCAAAAGTGTGCAGAGAGTCACAGAAGCAGAAGTGACCACAGCAATAACTAATGTCCTAAACTTCCTTTGTTTATGAGTATGCTGGATTTCAAGGGGTTCTGGAAGAGAAGCGGGTGAGTCAGAATACGGATCGGGACAAGAGTGCAGGTGTTCATTTCCTTTATAGGAATCACAATTGTGGTGTTGAAGATGAGGAATATGACCAGAAAGATTGTTAAAAGAAACATCCAGTTGAACAAGATTGGAAAGAGTAGAAAAAGATAAAGGTATTTCCCCAGAGAGGTTGTTGTGATCTAGCAACAGAATTTCAAGACTTTTGGCATTAGACAAACTTGTGGGAATTGTTCCAACTAGAGCATTGTGAGAAAGATTCAAAACAGCAAGGGAAGTCAATTGACTAAGTTGGGAAGGAATTACCCCTGTTAGATTGTTTCCTCCCAAAAGCATCCATTTCATGTTTTGCAAGTTTCCCAACTGATTAGGCAGTGATCCAGATAGTTTGTTCCCACTCAAGTCAAGATGCTGAAGCATCACCAAGTCACCTATACCAGGCCCAATCGACCCATCAATCTGGTTGTATGCTGCTTCAAAATCTGTCAACTTCAGGCATCCCAAGATCGATGCTTGCGAATTCCCACCAGATAGTTGGTTCACACTCAAGTTAACTGACAATGTCTTGAGTTCATTACAGTTTGAAACTAACTGATACGGCAGAGTTCCATTGAACTTATTATTATTGAGAGAAAGTGCATAGGAGACCTTATGATTTGCACTAAAAAGATTATCTCCAAGAGAGAACAAAGGCAAGGATCCCACAAAACTGTTCCAACTGAAATCATGGCTAACAACAACAGTGCTAGTCTCTTCAAAACCCGATCCAATGAGAGCATTCTTCTGAAAGCTCCAAACAGGAATATCAAAGTATGCATCATCATTAAAACCATCTAACTCTAGTGCACTCACCTGACACCTTTCTTTCCTAAATCCAGCAAGAGTGCCAGATATATTATACCTGCTGATATTGAAGTACATCATACAAGGAACCTGAAGCTGCAATGTAGGCAAATACCCCACCAAATTGTTAGAACTCAAGTCCAAGAAGCTTAAATTCCTACACATCCCCAACCTCTCCGGCACCACGCCCGTGACATAATTCTGCGCCAAATTGAGCACTCTCAGAGAGCACAAATCCGACCAACCACTCGGCAACCGGCCGCCAAGATTCGCTCTTGGTGCCCACAAAACCCTTAGACTCGAAAGCAACAACACTTCATGAGGTATGTTCCCAACAAAGGCATTAAACTCTCCTCTAAACCCATCCTCCAAGCCTCCCTCGCTATGATCCTCAAACAAATCAGTAAGCACAAGCACAGAAAGTTTAACACAATTAGCCAACTCCTTAGGGACCCTTCCAGTGAGGGAGTTTCTAGAAACATCTAGAACCCTAAGCTCAACAACACCCCCAATCTCAGAAGGGATTCTACCTTCCAAAATGTTCCCATCAACCAAAAGGGTCCTCAAGTTTCTACATTTCCCAATTTGGGGTGGAATCTCCCCAGTCAAAAAGTTATGAGACAGCTTCAAATGCTTCAAGGAATCACAAGAACCATTCAACAGAATCACCCCAGAGAACTGATTATTCGATAAATCAACGATTTTTACACTCCCAGAGCCAATCATTTCACTCGGCAACGAACCAGAGAAGGCATTTCCAGAGAGGTTAACAAAACGAAGACAGCGAAGAAAAGTGAAACTCATCTTGTCGGAGATTCTCCCGGAGAAGTTGTTACCTTGCAGCTCGAGAACCTCGAGGAACCGAAGATTCCCTAAGCTCGCCGGAATCTCGCCGGAAAACATGTTCCCGGCGAGGGACAGGACCCGGAGCTCGGACAAGTCTCCGAGGGAGGGCGCCAACTCGCCGCCGCGAAGGCCGGTGAGGTTGAGGGCGGTGACTCTGCCGGAGAGGAT